ACGTCGGGGTGGGTTTTGGACAGGGGTTTTGGCCCGGTCGGGGCCGCGGACAAGGGCCTTCGGCCGGCCGAAATTTTCTCTGGCGCTTCGCGCCGAGAGAGATGTTTGCGGTGTTTGAAGGGTTTTGGGCCTGGGTGGAGGGGGTTTCAACTAGGGTTTGGGACGAATTCTACGGATTTTCATGACCGCAACGTCGCCCACTGTTGCCTCCACTTTCCGTCCTTCCGTATCTCCCACTAGCTGGCCTGAAGCTAAAGGAACAGGTTAAGGACAGTTTAAGTGGGTGCTAGAACGGACTTAAGAAGGAGGCTACTCTCGTAGACTCAGGCACGGCACCGCACAGACGAGCGGCCAGCGAGGTTATTATAATGTACGAAGACAGGAAGGGAGGAGAGTACCAAGGGAGCATGCAACCCTAGTTAGCTGCTCGTTATTTGTTCATCCCCTCAACCAACAGTACATGCTATCAGGAACACTATCCTGCTGTTAGTAGAAACCACATGCTCTCAAAAAGTAAGCCGCCCACCCCGGACCCCGGGGAAGCGGCGAGCTGGGAGAGGACCACCACAGGGAGAGGGCCACCACAGCCAGCAGCTTCATTTAACTGGATGATGATAGGTGGTCTAAACTCACTAACTCGGTTACCGGCAACCTACTGTACTGCCGTAAATGCAAATCGCTCCGCAAATCTTGTGTCCGATGCCGTGCTATCGCCGGTTTAATATTACATTAGGCGACCGTATGGAAGACGAGGTCTTTCTAATTTCTTTCTTTCTTTCTTTCTTGCTTGCTTTCTTTCCTTCTCCTTCATTCATAAATTCCCTTCCTCCTTTTCATTCTCGCCTGCTTTCCCTTCCTTCTTTCGTTTCGCTCACTCCCGCTTTCCTTCCTTTCCTTCTTTCCTTCCTTGCTTCCTTGCTTCGTGGCCCTCTTTCAGTCCGCTTATCCTCCTCTTTCAGTCAGTGCGTCTTTAGGCTGCTATCAAAGCTGAGGCTGCCACGATAGTGGCTGCAGCAAGAAAGGATCTAGAAGAGAGAACCAAGGCTCAGGAAGCAGCAAAAAATGCGAAGACGCCTGATGAGCTTCAGGCACTAATCAACAGCAGACTGAAGAGCAGTATGGCTGGCCGTGCATCAGTACTCACGCAACCCGCCTCAAACTCAGCCCCTAGCAAATCCATGGTCACATCTCCCTCGGTAAAGGCGGAAGCAGCGGCTGTTGTCGCCACTGCACAACGAGAGCGCAACGAACGAATCGCAGCACAGAAAGCGGTAAAAACAGCATCGCCTGAAGAGATCCAGGCCATGATCAACGCGAGGCTCTCTTCGCGCTAGCCGCTTGTCTTTAATGGCGGCAAGTGTACCTGCCATGGTCGATGTGAGTCACACCAAACCCACCTCACGTCGTAATTACGGAGCTATCTCCGGGGCTATAGCCGAAATGAGGTGATGGCGGGCCCGTGCAGGGGACTCGAGGCGCTGTTAATGCGCATGGAAGCGAACTCATGGACCGGACATCATTCCAAGGGCAGTAGTAGCCGACTTTTAGTTTGCGGGTACTAGTAACAGTTTCGTCTCCGACGACCGGCCCATCGGCGTGTGCCAGCGGCGCGCGTAGTCCGAGTCGCGCTTCGCCGGACCCCTCGCGGCGAGCACGAGTATGTTCTGTGACATGCCGCCATGTGCGTTCCAGCCCTAACGTGCACCCCAAGCACGTGAGCCAAGGGCCTCCGTAGGGTGGCCCCGGCCCTGAGGAGCCCCCCCCACACGAAACGACCATTGACCCAGGGGCTGCCCCGTCGGACGCGAAGATCGCGACCGGAACACTATGTAACGCGACGCGCGCACGATGTCATGACGCTGAAACGCACTGTGTCATGGCATGATGTTCAAAGCGACTCCGGGCCCGCCCCCTGGGCCCCGGTCGTAGCCATGACGTGCACAGGGGCGCTTCAAGCAAATCAATTCAGCGTCCAAGGGTTAGAATGTGTTCCCGCTGTGCCGGCACACGCCCAGGCCCCGGCCCCGTCGACTTTGGGCCCGACCAAACGTGCCGGCACACCGACAAAACGCCATTTCTGGTTGTGCCGGCACACTTCGCTTCGCCAGATCTGCCGGCACACTGTGCCGGCACAAGATACACCCAGCAGGGGGTAGACGCGCGCGGAATTTTTTTCGGGTCTCTAGCCTCCCTTTAGGCCCCACTCGACCCGACTAATATCCCGGCGCGGCTAGCTTAACGCAGATAGTCCCGACCGCGCGGCTGGCGCCTCAAAAAGTTTTGCTTTTCACCTTGCCGCCCGGAGCCCCGGCGCCTGAGCAAAGCCCCCCGCTGCTAGTGTAGTGATGTCGGGGACGTCGTGGGTTCCCCCGGGCCAGCCTCGGGTCCCGTTCGTTGCAAAAGGGGGTTCCTGCCGTTATGGGTGAGGTTTCTGCCGCCGGCCGGGCCCGGGCCGCAGCCGGCGGCGCGGTGCGCCTTAGTACGCTACTCTACTACCATTCCGCTGATGAAGCCAGTTCCGGTAGCTGGGACCAAATTCCAAAGGATTGTAAGGCCCTTCAACTACAGAACTAAGTAGATATTACCTCTGATCTCCCCGACCCGGGGTATTCTAGGGGCACTAGCGCGGACTCTCAGCCTGGATAACACCAAGGCAGCCCTCGCTAGATGTGAGATAAGCAAGAGAGAAAAGATACGGCGACGCGTATCTGTAGGGTAAAGATATAATGAGATAAATAGGGCGGATACATGCACTGCAATGTCAGCTTCA